CTGCAGCATTTGCTGAATTGGTCCCAATGCTGTTGGTCCCTTTGCTGCTTTTGCTGCTGTTGCTGCTGTTGCTGTTGCTGCTGCTGCTGTTCCTGCTGTAGCTGCAGCAGCAGCACGCACAGCCCTGCTGCGAAATAATAACGACAATAAAAGACAAATCTGAAGAACTAATTAATTCTTCAGATAAGGAAAACAAAAGTACAGAACTGCTGCTGCTGCTGCTGCTGCTGCTGCTGTTTTGGTCAGGTTGGCAGCGGCGCTTTCGAAGTTCCTCGAGGGACAGTTGAGGTCAGCAGCAGCTCAGCAGCAAATAAAGATAAATAAATAGATAAATTCTTTTTTAGTTCTTTTTTGATTCTTTTTTAATCCTCTTTTAATTCTTTTTAATTCTTATCTTTAAATTCTTTTGACTCTTTTTGTTTCAAAACAATCGAACTTAGTTAATTTTTGGAATAAAAATAAAAATTTAAAAGAAACTCATTTGACATTTAAAATAAACAGTTTAAGTTCAAAATAAATGAATATAATATCTTTTTTAATTAGAAATAGATATTTGAATATCGAATGGCTTGTTTTGTTTAATTATTTATTTTTATTGAGTTTTTAATGATTTATTTAATTAAACAAAACACTTTAAACCAAAAAGAATTAAATTTGTTTGTTTTCAGACTTTTTTGCATTTGGGACTTTTGTTTGATTTCGCGGCTCTGGAGTTAACAGCACTTTTGAAAAAAGAAAATTCCACAAGACCTTCCCACATCTTCGCCTTTGCGCACACTCACCACGTGAGCTGCAGCTAGCTAGCTGGCTAGCTAGCTAGATGCCTAGCTTGCCAGACAGCTAGCCAGCTAGCTAGCTAGCTAGCTAGCTAGCTAGCTGTGCAGCTAGCTAGATAGTTAGACAGAAACTAACTAGCTGTCTAGCTAGACAGCTAGATAGCTAGCTAGCTAACTAGAGGAACAGTTAGCTAGCTAGACAGCTAGGTAGCTAGGGAGCTAGCTAGCTGACTAGCTGGGCAGAGCGTAGGGCTTGATACTTAGGGTTTAGGGGTTAGGATTTAGGGTTTAGGGTTTAGGGTTTAGGGTTTAGGGTTTGCGCTGCAGCACTTCGTGGGCCCTCTGGAGCCCGGGCGCTACGAGTTGGAGTTGTTGGCGATGAACCCGCAGGCTGCAGAGGGCTCGCAAGAAAAGGTCTTTCTATTTCTTTTTTTTATTTTTATTTCTTTTTTATTTCGTTTCTGTTCATTTTATTCAAGTTTGTTTCATTTATTTTCTATTTATTTCCTTTAATTTTTTTTTCTTTCTCCTTTTTTCGTTTTGGGTGTTTTTGGTTCTTTTTTGGCTCTTTTTGGTGTTTTGTCTTTTCTCGCGAGCCCTTCACTCAACTCTCCATCTTTGAATTTTTAATTTTAATTAAATGAAATCAAATTTAATTTAATTTTGACTTTTTGCTTTTCTGATTCTTTTTAAATACTTTTATTCTCTTTTTAGTTTTCCTTCAATTTCTTTTTTATTTCTTTTTATTCTTTTTAATCTGGTTTAAATACCTTCTCTTGTTTCGTTTTTGCTTTGAACCCTAAACCCTAAACCCTAAACCCTAGCTTGTTGAGTTTTTCCTTCGTGTGCGTGTGTGCAAAAATAAATTATTTCCCCATCTATTATTTCTTTTTCTCTGCAACATTATTTAAAACTGATAATTATTTATTCTGAATTAAATCAATTAAATTAAATAATTATTAATTTTAATTTTAATTTTAATTTTAATTTTTATTTTTATTTGCTGCAGCGCTGCGTGGCCCTCGCCATGGATGCCAGGCTGCAGCAGCGAGAAGCAGCAGCAGCAGCAGCAGCAGCAGCGCAGCAATGGCTTTGCTCGCGACAAAGGCCCTTCATTCCCAAACAAATTCAGCAAGCAAACCCTAAACCCTAAACCCTAAACCCTAAACCCTAAACCCTAAGCTCTCAAGGCCCACAGGGACGACGGGACTCGGGGTTTTGCTTTTGTAGGGCGTACTTCTATAAGGTTTAGGGTACAGGGTTTAGGGCTTAGGGTTTAGGGTTTAGGGTTTAGGGTTTAAGGTTTTGTTTGTCGCAGAGTGACGGAAGATGCTCAGTTTGTCTTGGACACAAAATATGGAGTGCCCACCTCAGGTACCTTCTAATCCCTAAACCCTAAACCCTATACCCTAAACCCTCGACTACCCTCGCGGGTTTAGGGTTTAGGGCCTCAAGTGTCTGCTGCTTGTAGAGTTTCGCTTATAGGAGTTTCTGCTGCAACTTTTGCTGCTGTTGCAACTGCAGCTGCTGCTGCTGCTTCTGCCACTATGCTGCTGTTGCTGCTTTTACTGTTGCTGCTGTTTCTGCTGCTGCTGCTGCTGCCGATTGGCTTCTCTCAATGCGCGCAGCGCATCTGCTGCTGCTGCTGCAACGCATTTTGGAGGGCCGCTGCTGCTGCCATTTCTGCTGCTGCTGCTGCGCCGCTTGCTGCTGCTGCGCTGCTGCTGCATCCCCTCCGCTGCTGCTGCTGCTGCTGCTGCTGCAGGGCACCATTTGCTGCGTCTGTCAGTGCCAAGAAGATCTCTTTTAAAACTCTCCGTCCGCAGCAGCAGCGGCACTTCTCCCCATTTGGTGGTTTACCCCGAGGGCCAGCCCGCGGCAGTCCTCGCCGAGGCCTACGGAGACCTCTTCATGGGTTAGGGTTTAGGGTTTAGGGTTTGGGGTTTGGGGTTTGGGGTTTGGGGGTAACGGCTCGGGGTCTTGGATATAGGGTTTTGCGGGTAGAAATTAGGGTTACGGGGTCTGGCCACGGCGTTAACGGCTTTAGGGTTTAGGGTTTAGGGTTTAGGGTTTAGGGTTTGCATGCAGAGGCGGACTCCGCGGGTTTGTACGTAACAAGACTCACTTTAGCGCTTCGGGTCTCGGGTCCAGGGTCTCAGGTCCAGTGCCTACTGTGTATTGTCTAGGGTTTAGGGTTTAGGGTTTAGGGTTTAGGGTTTAGGGTTTAGGGTTTAGGGTTTAGGGTTTAGGGTTTGCATGCAGAGGCGGACTCCGCGGGTTTGTACGTAATAAGACTCACTTTAACTCCTGCGGCCTCTTCGGCGTCTTGTCCTTTCCTTCACTTCCACTTCGTCGTGGCCCCGCTTTCCCTCATTCCCGTGTGCCCCTGGGGTAAACCCCAAACCCTAAACCCTAAACCCTAAACCCTAAACCCTAAACCCTAAGCCTTAAGCTGTAGGCCGTAGGCCGTAAAGCGTAAAGCCCAGGGGCCTTCCACTTCGTCGTGGCCCCGCCTTCCCTCATTCCCGTGTGCCCCTGGGGTAAACCCTAAACCCTAAACCCTAAACCCTAAAGCCTTGAATACCTTCATAGAGCCTCACGGCTTTCTTGTGGTGCTGAAGACTTGCTGCCGCTGTGCTGCAGCAAGGGGACTGCAGCAGCAGCAGCAGCAGCAGCAGCTCTCGCTGCCGCAGCTGCGCCAGGCCGCCCTCAACGCCTTCAACACCACCTTCGACGCCTCAATGTTTCTGCCCAAGTACGCTACTGCTGCTGCTGCTGCTGCTGCTGCTACCGTTATTGCTGCTGTGCTGTTGCTGCTGCTGTTGCTGTTGCTGTTGCTGCCACTGCTGCTGTTGATGGCACCACTACTACTGCTGCTGTTGATGGCACCACTACTACTGCTGCTGTTGATGGCACCACTACTACTGCTGCTGCTGCAGCTGCTGCTCCCCCTGCAGCAGCAGCAGCCGCAGCGGGCTACCGGCGGGCGCTGCTGCGGTGTCTGTACAGCTGGGCGTGTGGGGTGCGTTGGGGTGTACAGACAGCTGGGGGCCGACGGCGTTGAGGTGTCTAGACCTCACGACATTTGGATGTCTCCTTCTTTGCAGCCGGAGTTTCCTTTTTCTGCTCCGGGGGCCAGCAGCAGGTAGGTCCTTTTAAACCCTTTTTTGGGGTTTGGAAACCCTTTTTCGGGGTTTAGGAACCCTATTCGCCCCTTAAAAGCCTTTTTGGCGGTTTTAAACCATTTTTCGCGTTTTTTAAACTTTTGAATCCTTTTCGGCCTCCTTTTAAACTCCTGCGACTACAACCGCTGCTGCTGCTGCTGCTGCTGCAGCTTGAGAGTTGAGGTGTCTCTACAGCCGGCGTGGCTGCCGCTGCGTCTGGAGCTGCACCGAAGAGAAGAAGAAGGACTTCGAAAAGCTCCAGTGTAATTTAATTAAATTTAATTAAATTAATTAAATTAATTAAATTAATTAATTAATTAGTTAATTAGATTTATTTTATTTATTAATTAATTTAATTAATTTAATTGAGTTAATTTAGTTTGATTTTAAAATTAATTTATTTTTCTTTTTTCTTTTCAGCGCTGTTTCTGAATATACCGAAAACCGAATTTTGCTGCTCTCTCGAGACCTCCCTGGGGGAGACTACATTTTGAAGTTTGTTATTTATGACCAGGTTCGATTAGGGTTTAGGGTTTAGGGCTTAGGGTTTGGGGTTTGGGGTTTAGGGTTTAGGGTTTGGGTCTTTTAGGGCACGGGGAGAACTGGGTTTGGGGCTTGTAGCGGCAGAGCAAGTTTTGAGCTCAGGGCCTGTAGGATTTAGGGTTTAGGGTTTAGGGTTTTGCGTTTAGGGTTTAGGGTTTGGGGTTTGCTGCAGGCTCAGCCAGAGACGGAGCAGCTGTGTGCGCACGCGACGATAAACGCGGAAGTGGGTGGCAATTTCCCTTCGCGAGTTTCCTCCAAGCGTTCAGAATTAGGGTTTAGGGTTTAGGGTTTAGGGTTTAGGGTTTAGGGTTTAGGGTTTGGCGCAGCTGGGGGAAAACAACTCCGCACTCCTCAACGCCGTCCGAGCGGAACTCCTCGAAGTCCCAGACCTTTTGCCTGTCGAGCCTTTGCCGCGTTCTTTCAACTCCAGGTGCGCCACAAGCCCCAAAACGCATGCATGCATGCATGCACGCATGCATGCATGCACGCATGCACGCATGCGTGTGTGCGTGAATGC